AGTTAACTTATCAACTATGAATGAAAGAAAATAACTTAATAATGGAGAGATCTAGCAGGTACCACCTTCACCAGGTGATCAAATCTAGCCTCACCAATGGTGGGACAGCTTTCTACCACGGGGCTCCTGAAATGATGTAATGAGAGGCAGGTGATCTTATCTACATGATTGTCTTGCCAAAGAAGTTTAACCTGAATCTAATCACAAGGAAGTAATCAAATCCAGAATGTGGGGCACATTGATGAGGCCTGGACTTTACAAGAAATTTAATGTAATGAAAAACAAAAAGGGAGAGAGGTTTGTTCTAGATAAAATTACACTAAAGAGACAAAAGAAGCAAATGCAATAAACCTTGATTGGATCCGAGAAAATAAACAGCAATAAAAGACATTCATAAGACAACTGGAGAAATTTGAATGTGGACTACATATAGATGATATTACTGTGTTAATATTGATTTACTTAGTTGTGATAATGGGATTATGGTGATGCAGGAGAATGTTCTTATTCTCAGTACATGCATGCTGAAGGATTTAGAGGTGAGGTGTCAGAATGTCTGCAACTTTTATTTTTCTTTGGTGAGGAAGATTCGCCCTGAGCTAATATCTTTTGCCAATCTTCCTCCTTTTTTTTTAGCTTCAGGAACACCAGCCCTGAGCTTACATCTGTGCCAGTCTTCCTCTACTTTGTATGCAGGATGCCTCCACAGCACGCCTGATGAGTGGAGTAGGTCCGTGCCTGGGATCCAAATCTGTGAACCCAGGCTACTGAAGCAGAGTGCATGGAACTTTACCCCTCGGCCATGGGGCCGGCCCCTGCAACTTTCTTTTAAGCGGTTCAAAGAGAGAGAGAAAAGCAAGCAGTTAACAATTGGTAAATCTAGGTGAAGGGTGAAAAAGAAAAAGATTAAGAAAAACCTCAATGCAGTCTATTTCTTCATTACTTCATCAAACTTTTTTCTGCCACGACCTTGGATAGCTTTATGCTTATAAGTATAAACTGTGCTTCTTAATGTGCTAAATTAGATTGAAATCTTTAAAAGCATCATAGCAAGAAAATTGCTCTGCAAAGCTTTTTAGACATAAAAGACTTCTAATTTGTGTAGGAGTATAGGTGAAGATAATGGTAAAGTGAGAGAGAGCCATGAAATATTAAAAAGAACACTTTCCTGGGAGTCAGAAGACCTTCGGGTCCAGCTCCTAACTACTGAAGATGTCAGTTTCCGCATCAGTCAAGTGGGGCTAATGGTATCACATGCATCATCCTGCTGTACAGGTACAGGAGAAACAGGATGTGAAAAAGGCTTTACAAACTGGAAATGGATATGCAAGGGGAGGGATGCCACGATGATGTCCTCTTAGCAGTAGTTCTCGAACTTTATCATACCTTACAAGCAACTGAGAAACTTGTTAAAAGTGCAGATTCCCAGCCCTACCCTCAGAGATTCTGATTCAGTAGGTCAGGGTTGGGGCCCAGAATTTACTTTGTGAAAGCAACCCAGGTTCTCTGGTCCAACGGATTTGAAAACCACACGTGGAGAACTGCCTTGGAGGTGCTGTGATCTAACATCCTTGCTACTCAATGTTTGGTATGGACCGGCAACATCACTGGTACCTGGGAGGTTGTTAGGAATACAAAATCTGGCCCCACTCCAGACTTGCTGGATCAGAAGCTGCATTTGTAACAAGATGCCCAGGTGATTCCTATGCACATTAACGTTGAGAAACACTAATCTAAATGGCAAGACTGAGTGGTGACCTCTCTTTTTTGCCCTGGTCACTAACTCTCAGCTTGCCATCAGACAGAACTGGGGTGGCACCTTTGTGTTGCTGACACCTTTACCCTCACTTACCTCTTCTCTCTGCTTCTCTTTGTTTCTAGCTCCTCAGTCCTAGCAGATTTTGATAAACATAACCAGCCAATCAAAGTGCTTGTTTTCTCCCACGCCATAAACAGACTAACTGAAGCATACGGACTTGGGATCCAAATCTAGTTAACCTAGGTCTGTGATTTTTTTGTTTTTATTATGGTGAAACAACATAAAATTTACCATTTTAACCATTTTAAGCCAACGGTTCAGTGATGTTAAGTATATTCACACTGTGCAACGATCTCCAGAACTTTTGGTACGTGATTTTGAATACGTCACTTAACCTCTCCAAGCTTCATTTCATTATCTTTAAAATATGGATAATATTACCCACTCTTGCAGAGTATTTTAAGAATTAAATGAAATAATAAACGAACGTCCCTAGGACCCATAGAAGATGTTCAATAAATGCTAATCTTCTTCCTTCCTTCCATTTGAAGTAGGTTTTCAGACAGCCCTGGATGTTTACAACAGATATCATCTGCTGAAATCTACTGATAAGAATTTTAAAAGCATATACAAAAATCTACATATTCGGGGCACATTATTGCCTTAGAACAGGGCAATTTGTAAAACAGAAGTATTCTATAATCTATAGAATTGGGCAATTTGAAACAGCTAAAGTAAACAGCAGCCAATTACATTTTGTTGGGAAAATTACATTTTGGGAAGCAACAACCCTTTTGTGCCCATTATATAGAAATTCTTGTATTGACTATATTGTTTTATAAACAGCTTAAGTACAATCATTATGTGAATATCAGTAACTTTCACAAATAGTGCTTTCAACCTTGAGGCTGATCCACTTGATGTAGCATTTGAATTCCGTTTGTGTACACACTATCTTTAAAGGAGAATGCTAACGGGAAAACTTGGGTTATATGCAGTGAATTGAAAAGATCAGTTTAACTTCAGAATTAGGCTAATTAGAACAGGGAAAAAGAATTTAGAGATCCTCTCCTCCAACTCCCTTATTTTATAAAAAAGGAAATTAAATTAATATCCAGAGAGACCTAGTAACTCGTGCTCAATCATATGACGAGCTACTAGCAAAGCTGGGACCAGAGCCCAGGTTCCAGGAGTGTGCCCTGGTGTCACTTCACCTTGAAGAATGAGTGACACTTCAACAGCTAAGGTGATGGGAAGGGGTTGTAGAGAGGCCTCCGGGTAGAGGGATCAACAAAAGTAATTTCACAGAGTCTGGCTCTGAAACCGAGAGACTGATCGGTGTGTTGAGGAGTGTTCTGGAGTGGCGAAGCAGGAAGGAGAGATTAAGATGAGTTTTGTGATGGGAGAAGAGAGTTTTGGACTCTCTTGTAACACAGAATATTGGAAGAGAGGTTTAAGGATTTTGGGGGGTTTTGATTTTACAGTTTAATGTGGCTCTTCCATATTTGTATTGTCATGTAGTCAATATAGGTATCTTGGGAAGTAGCTGTTTTACAGATGATGGTCTAATATTCAGGAGATTATGTTCTTTGCAAAGCAAAGGTTTGAACTCAGGCTCTGAATAGAAAGGCTGTGTATTCTGATTCTTAACAGCAGGTGCTCCGGGGCCAGGCGCTTTGGGTTCAAATCTCTCTGGCCCCATTTAGAAGCCATATGACCTTGAAAGACAAAAATGATGACTAAAATGCATAGTGTTTGTGTGCCGGGCTCTGTTCTAAATACATTGAACTAAATATATATTACTCATTTAATCCAACATCCATTGACATTTATTTTATTATTATCATTATTTTAAAGCCTCCCTACCCCCCCCCAAAAAAAGAGAGAGGGGAAGGAAAGAAGAAGAAAGGTGTCTCAGTTGAAGATGAGGAACAGGGGTACATTCCCCCAGATTCCCTGTTCCTCGATTTATAATATAATCTCAACTCCTTGGTACCCCACTATTAGTTCCCTTCCCACTTGTGATACTGTGGTAGATTAGACCATTGTGCAAAAATATTCACCTTCTTAGGAGGAGTCTACTTCCCTCCCCTTGACTCTGGGCTCAGCCACGTGACTTGCCTTGGCCAAGGAGCTATTAGGCTATATAACCCCGAAACTTGAAATGTGCTTCTACAGTTTGGCTTGCCCTCCTGTACTTCTGCCATCACAATGAGAAGAGCTTCTGCTGGGTAGCTCTTGCCCCTTCAGCCTAGGGCTCAGTGTGGCCACATAAGAGCAGATCTGCCCCAACTACCCCCAGATTTCCCAATGGCTGAGTGACTGGAGCAACCGCCCTCTAGTCCTGCAGAAAGTCGAATACCAGCCCATCCAAAGACCCTCTTTGAGACTCAAGGATAAAGATTTAGATCCGTATGCACCTCACCAGCAGAGCACCAGCCTCTGAGTTTCTTTCTTGGTTACTCTGGAAGCTGAACCATATGATGGGACAGAAAAAGAACTGGAATCTTACCTTGCTACTTACAGTATTTCTAGTATGACAAGTATCCGTTTGGTTAAAATAACCAATTTCTTAAAAACAGGGTTTGCAATTTTTTCCCCAACAAACCCATAAAAGAGAAAACTCAGACCAAAACTTATTAAGTCTCTTGGAAGTCTCCAGGAGTTAAGAAAGGGAGCCCATGTTGACGGATAGAGACCCCTTCACTTTGAGCCCTTTAATGAACATACACGGTTAGTCTCCTCCCCCCACACTGGCAGTGCTGTAAGGACATTTTTCAAGCGGAACTAGAGCTTCTGATCCTCTCCCTCAGAAGTAGCGGGATCACCATTTTGTCCATTCCAATCAGTGGCAACCGTGAGAGAACCTTCACACCCAATCTGGGCATCTGGATAATGGAGAAACCAGTTTTCCACCTAATGATGATAAACTGCTCTGTAAGGTTGATACTCGGCTTGTAAATCCAACAATTATATTGGGTAAGAGGTTCGATAGATATGTTCTTTAAAAATCTTATGTAAATCACCCTTCTATAAATTGAATCTCATTCCAAATGAACCAGAGGGCTGTTTAAGAAAATGCCATGTTGAAACTTTTCACAAGGGAAATAATCACACTCTTGTATTTGTTATGGAAGTTTTCTCTACTAGGTGGTCCTAAACCATGATATACCTGGGGTACTTCCCCTGCAGGGCAGCATCTCTACGGGAGGACATTCATATCACAATGACAACAGTAATGTTAAAATGCTTTACATGACTCTTTATTTCAAAAGTGCTTTACTAACATAGACTAACCTTCACAACATTCAAGGGAGGTAGATAAGTATTACACACCACTTTCACAGATGGATAAACTGAGGCAGAGATTAGTAAACTGTGTTGAAGGGCATAATATATGGCACAATTAGGAAAAGAACTTGTTGCAGTCACAGATCACTGGCGACCTTTCCCATGACTTCTGAGTCCCACCAACACAAAAGTCGCAGATGCAGCACGGAAGCAAGTCTAAGGCCACACTTCACCTTGTTGAGACCAGATGTTGAATATGCTGTCCTTTGGCAAATATTTCCCTCACATACATTCTCACATGACCCCACCTCTAAAACAGAGGAGAGTGGGAGCTGTTGTGGGTACAGAAGGAAGGGTTGGAGGAATGGGGCTGGGAGGGAAGAAGACAGAACAGAAAACATGAACTGATAGCAAAACAAGGGCAAGGGAGAAGAGGAGGATGAGCTGGGAAGCAGCCCAAGAGAAAGGAAAGCCACAGCAGACAAGAAGTGTTATTCCATTTGAAAAGCTCAGACATCTAGAAATGTTATTAAAAGGGTAATTCTTAGCAATGACATTACAGAGCCACTCTTCATGGCTTCGCCAAATATAATTATCAGGTCCTGCTGACATTCCCAGGAGGCAGACGCATTCCTTTCCCCTGGTCCAGACCACATACTGATGTAATTGACCTGACACTGCAGAGGCTGTTGACAACTCTAATGCACTCTTCCACCATGCCACCTCTCTTTCTCTGTTCTCATTCTTAAAAAAAAAAATGGGGGGAAAGCCAGTGCATTTTAAGATTCTCCCTGAAAAATTCTTAAAATATTTCCTACATGTTTGATGCATAATAGGGTAGGGTTCCATGTTTGATTCTGTAAAGAGGTTGTAATAGGCATACATGGGGATTAACAGTCCCTGTCAGTCAATGCTCCTTTATATAACATGGGACATTTTAAAAAAACATGAAATTTGTGGATGCCAATCGTCTAGAAAAGAATTGAAGCTTGAGGTAAAGAAATAATCTTTTCTGATCTTTCTAGCGTGAAGCCATTATAAGAGATGGTCACTGACGCACCACCAGCTGCGATGGAGACACTGATGGCAGAGGCAGCACCAAATGAGTGGGTGACAAGGACCCAGCAGGGAGCAGCTGGAGTCAGATGAAAAGGTGGAAGAGGCAGCACAGGCAGCTGACGAGGCAGAAGTCAGAGCGAAAAGGTGACAGCCAAAGAGGAGATGGGAGGAGGCGCTAGAGTTTGAGGCCGAGTGGGAAGCAATTGCACTAGTTTGTGGCTAGGCCTCTCCTAGGATGGGTCAGAGCCAGAAATGCATCCTTTCTTCCATTATTTCAACCGGCAGCATCATTCTTTCAGGCATCTAGCTGTACAACTTTACCCCTCCTCTCCAACAAAAGCAATCAGCTGCCAAGCCTGCCTGATTCCACTTCTGCAATGCCCTTCGCATTGGTCTCCCTCGTTTTTACTTGTCTCCTCTAGCTCCTCCTCTCCTCTCATCCTAACCAGGGCCAACCTTCCCAACTCGTCTATCAGACTCCAGTCTTCTCGAAACTGTTTCATCCTCTAATCTTCCTCCTGGAGCAGTTTTGATCATGTTACTGCCCAACTTGGAAACTCCTGTGTGTCACTGCCTCTCAATTCTGTGTCTCAGCATCTTGAATCTTCAACAGGACCTTGCATCTTGCAAAGATCCTCTCCTTTCCAAATTTCCACCTGCCAAAATGCCAACCGTAAGGACTTGGCTCAAATGCCACCTCCTCCAGCAGGCCTTCCTTCAAGCTTCTTAGCTCTCTGCTCTGAGCTACATATGCACTTGAAGACACACACTGACCAAGTATATGACAGCTGTGTACAAGCCTTACCTCCCCTACTGGGCTGTGTCCATGATTTGGCAGGGTGGAGTATGGTGAACTGTGTCTCAGTATTTATCTGTCAATTCTCTAGAGCACCAACCAAGAAATGGTTATTGCCTTTCCACCTCAGGTAAGGAACTGCTCAAAAGTGAAATTAGTTGGGATGCACCTGTTCATGAATGGAGGCATTCCAAGTCCCTGCAGATGTGATCTGGCTCTCAGGGTAAAACAAACCCATGGTATAGCTTTGAGGGATGAGGCAGGGGCAGGGGCAGGCAGGGCCCCTCATTTTCGAGTCAAGAGACCTGGGACTGAGGTTCTGCTTTGCCATTCACTAGCTATGGGCCTGGTGCCATGTAGTTCTTCTCTGAGCATCATTTCCTCACTTCTGCATGACCTCACAGGATTCCAGACCAACTGAGACACATTTGTGAACTCTACACCAGTGATTCTCAGTCCCAATTACGTATCATAATCCCCCATAAAGCTTTGAAAAATATAGAGGACCAGGCCTCAACCTTAGTCAAGTGAATCAGAATCCTCAGGGAGTGGGACCCAGTGGGACTAATTCGTTATAAAATAGTCTTTCTAATGCATAGCCACGGTTGAAAACTACTGTTATAAACTCATAAATACCATTAACAGTAGAACGAGATGCTTTAGGCTGCTGGTTTAATTATCCTTTATTTGTTCAGTTAGGAATTAGTTCAATGCTTTTATAGTTCCATTATGTGTCTGAGCATTTTTTTGCATTGTTCTACATTGTTGTTTGTGTGCTTAAGTGGTAAATTCTGAGGGAAACCAATATCCGGCACACTGCTGTACACAAAAACGTACCTAACCCAATTTTATTTTTTTTCGTAAAAACTTCACAGGGTCCTCTAAACCTTGCTACACAGAACTGTGGTGATCAGACTAATAGAACTGGCAAAACCTGGGAGCTTACAGGAAACGCAAACTCTGAGGCCCCACTTCAGAATCTGCATATTAACAAGATTTCCAGATGGATCCATAGAGGAAGCAATGGCAAACTTTTCTCTGTTCACATCTGTGTTGAGGGCCTGCTGGTCCCCAGCCGAATTCCAAGCGTGTAGAAGGGCATGGAGAGTCCAGCTGTCTCCCATAAACCATTTAAGCTTGGGACTTGATCCAGATGCTTCTTCTCTAAAGGGTCCATTTGGTAAAAACTAAGTTAAGAACACAAATCCTTACAAAAGGATCCTTCCTTTCAAAGATGACTAGTCTTCACAGGCTTCCTTTAAATAACCAGTTCCTCTAAGATATTTAAAATATCAGTGTATAAAGTAAATTGAGACTCACTTAAGTTTTATGCAGTGCATAAATAATGAGTATATATGTACTCTACTGGACTTATGGTCCCCAGGACCCAAATTCCAAAATTATGAAGGAGGGAGGCTTAGCCAATGCAGTAAACACTTGCTCCCTGTTGACCCATGCCCTCCGGGCAATTATGATGTCAGCAGTACCCATCCAAGACTCTGCAGACCACACCACAGTCAAGGAGTCGTAGCAGATTCTGAAAATTATCTAGACCAACTCCCTTGTTTTATGGACTGGAAACAATGTGGCCATGGACTAAAAGGAGTTAACCAAGGTCACAGAGCACTTGAGGCAGAACCAAATTCAGAATTCAGGCCCTGACTCCTAGTCCTACACTCCCTATATAGCCTCTGCCACACATCCCCCTCCTTCCCCGCCACATGGCCTTCAAATTTCATTCTCAGAAATTGCTGACCTGCCTTGCCACTGAAGCGTCCCTTTGCTTCTTCCGGCTACTGCTGTGCCCAAGTCCCAAGGCTGTTTTTAACAGTAGGCTACAGGAGAAGCCATCTCACAGCTCAATCAGAATATCCATTTATCAATCCATGCTTCCAAACATATTGGTAATGGATTCTTAAAAAGCTCAATGCTAACTGTGTAATGCAAACGACATAGCATCACTATTAGCTAGCACCATGAGCATGGTGAGGGAAGGGCCTTAGGTGGCTAAGGACGAAAAACAAGGGGAAATGATGAACTCAGTAGTACAAAGTTGGGAGGAAACTACAGAGGGAAAAGGCAAAAACTGGAGCACAGTGTGGGAGGCAGCACCTTTGAGAAACATACACAGTGTGACTATAAAATTGCAAGTCTTTTCTTTTAATAAAACAAACATGACAGAATGTAGAACTCTAAATGAACATTTCTCCCTCAAAGTGGTTACATCCTTAGTTCCAATGTTGGAGACATTATTTGAAACTCCTCTTTGGGGAAAGGAAGGCCTTACAAGGCAGTTTTGAGCCACATTAGAAAATATCCTTCCATACGCTGGGCTGTTGAAAAACAGAAAATCCACACTCAAGGGACACTGAAAAAATGAAAAAGGTGCTGCAGCTCTCATGGAGGTTCCCTAAAGACCTCTAGCGAGTTCTGAGCAACAGCTTCACCACCAGAGACACGTGTGGCCTCCCGGGATGGCCACTTTCAATGGGAGGGCATTCATTTGGATAGAAAAGTTCTGATGTCTATTAAAAAAAAAATCAGCCACACTCCTTTATAGTCACACTTGCATTTGGTTAAAAAATACAACAATAACACTCACACATGGTTCTTGTAGGAATTCTAATTAAGAGACATTACATTCAGAATTATAGCACGCATGGTGATCATTTTCAGAAGACTCTAACAGCTTCTTTGCCACTTAAGGGGTACATAGGGTGCAGCTGTTTACCTGAATGTATTCTTAAATAAGTGACTACTACCACTCTAATTCTCCTAGTTGTACCTCTGTTACAGGTTACTGACGGCAAGTTCTTGTTCCAGACTTTCTTTGCCAACACAGATTAATTACAAGGGAGCCGCCCCCACAGTCTTAGGGTGAATTGGGAAAGGGCCGGTTAAATGAGGAAACAGGCCATTCCTTGGTAAAAGTTTGCAGTTTTCTTTCCCAATACATCTTCTTTTTATTGAGAACTTCCATTTTTATCCTGTGTTCCTCCTCTGCCATCTCACACTCTCGCTCTATCTGCTGGATTTTGGCCACATGCACCTCATTCATTTGTATCAGCTGCAGTTGTAAGATGGACATTTGTTGATGGTGTTCTTCCTCATGCATCTTTTTTAAAGCACCTTCCTGAGAGGTTTTGCTCCTGTAGTTTTTATTGGCTGTTATTCTGACAGCTGAACACGAGGGTTCAGGTTGAGAGGTCCCCTCACATACTGGAAAATGTATGAACTCTTTCTCATCATCGCACAGTTCTCTATTTGAAACAGCAAATGATTCTGAAAAACAGTAGCAGAAAACATATGTTCAAAGATTTTACAGGCAGAGAGTAAATCAATCCTATTTCCAATGACAGGGTCCCCCATTACAGGATGTATCTGAAATAGCATCTGCTCTGGTCTGCGCGTCTACAGGCACCCTTGCCACACCTGACTTTTTAAAAACCCATAAATCAAAAGCAATTTTCCCTTAAGAAGTAAAGGAAAAGGGTTTCATCATGTCATTTCTAGAACTGCGACCTACGAGAAGAGTGGTCAGAGACTGCGCTTATGAAGAATTGGTGACCTTGGTACGTTGAGGTAAGTTCCAAACTGAAGTGTGCACAACTCCAAATGAACACTCATGGTACGAGGCCAACACATGGGCTTTCACATTAAGTTCTCCCTCAGTCTCATCTCCCTTTCTCAGCTTCTCATTCAGCCAGGAGCACTTGTTCAACCTCCACAAAGGGGGCCGTTGCTCTGTTTCCTGGTCCCAGGTCTTGGCCCTAACCCTGGATAGCCATCTTACAAACGTCCTCCCTGGAAAGATGAGTGTCCCTGGCTTAACTTCCTCGCCACACCATTTCTCTTCAACCTCCTACATCTGATTGTTACCTCCATCTGGGCACGGCCATCTGGGGGTCAATATTCAGATCTCAAAGACACTTTTCAAGGTCCCTCTTATGTAACCTCTCCCTTGCATGTGACAAGTCCTTCTTGAAATTTCTTTCCTCTATTAGCTTCTGATCCATTGCTCTCTCCTAAGTTTTCTACAGCCTCCTCTCTGATTGCTCCTTCTAAGGTCTCCTTTAAGGACTCACACTTGCTCCACCCACCTCTTACCTCTTCATGTTCCCCTGGGGTTCCTATCTTTGGCTCTGTATTCAGTCCACCATAAGTAACCCTCATAATCTGGTTCCAAACTTCCTTTATCTTTCTTCCCTCACTCTTCAAAACACTCTGTGCACCCATCAATCCTACCACAAACTACTCACATTCGTAAAGACCACGTTTTTCTCCATAATTCTTGAGCCTGAAGTTGGGCTCAGTATTCGTCCTCCCCCCACTCTCTCAAACACACACTCTCCTCTGGTCTCTCTTTTTCAACCTCCGCCCAAATCCTACTTCATTCAGGGTCAATGCCACCTGCTCAGTGACACTTCAGCTCTCCTCTTTCTCTATAGGGACTCTTCTGTTACAGCACTTAACGCACACTAATATTATTTTGGGACCATGCCTTATTCATTTCCTTTATCCTTGGGACGAGTTACCTTATTTGGTACACAGTGGGTGAATATTTATTGGCTGAAGCTTTGAACACAAGCAGAAAAGAGCTTACAGATACAAAATGATGCCACTGTTGGTGGCGCCATGTTTGCACTTGTATTTTTATAGGGCAATAACACTAGCATCAATTCGAGAGTTTCAACAAGGAAACCACTAACTCCACTAACCAATGGAGTCTTCTAGCTGTGTTTCCAAGGCTTTCTTGGAAAGCTTTACATTTCCAATAATGAGAATTGTTTCCTTGGAGAAAAATATCAATTTATTAACAGAGGTGATTACATTATTACGTCCACCCCATTATTCCAGAAGATGGGATGCCGGGAATAATGGCTACTGGGGGAAACCTAGCTCTGTTAATAAAAGGAAATGGCTATTGTTTAGCTTATTTCACTCCAAGGGGTTAGGTAACAACCATAACTAGTCCCTAAGTAAGAGTAAAGAAAGGTAAAAATCTTACTTTTGAAAGAAAAGGTTAAAAGTACTTCTGTGTCATCCAGAGATAATGGAAATAACTCCCTAGGAATCCTCCCCAACTCCAACAGCTCTAGCCTCGATTAAACATTCTTCCTTCACGCTCCCACTGCCTCCCGAGCCCACTCTGGCAGAGCACTTGGTGGTTTAACTACCTCCCCTTCAGGTCTCTGAATAGTTTGCAGACAGAGACTGCTTCCTGTTCACCCTCATGGAGAACTCAGCACAGGGCCTGGCAGACTGCCTGGCATGTGCGAAATGTGTGTGGGATGAATTGGCTGAAATGGGTCACATCCCTCCCAACACAGCCTGGCTGTGGAAAGAACAGGGCTCTGAGTCGAGAGTCGAGGCACAGGACAAAGGACTGGGCAAGGATTACCACTGAGAATAGGGTCCCTCAGATGTGATCAACTGCAAAGAGGATTACCTCACCCATTTCCTTTCTAGTCTTAGATCTGAAAGTGTCTTCTTTGAAGACAGGACACAACGGACATTTTTTGGAAGCTTCAGCCTCTGTTCTCTTTGATTTCATTCCAAAAGATAGTTCTGGATACTCCTCTGAGTCTTTAAAGTTCATGCCCTCATAATGCCACTTATCTCTGCCAATTTCTAAAAGCTCATTTTTATCTCAACAATTCCAGGCTTTAGAGGCCTGAGGAGGAAGATGATGATGATGGACTGTAGCTAACTAGGCACTGGGCTAGTGCTTTACCGCATTACCTCATTTAATCCTTACAACAACTCTCTGAGGGTGGTATTATTCTAGAAAACCTAAAACAATATCCAAAATCATTTGGCCCATTGAAAGACTCAGGACTCTAGTCCAGGCCTGCATGACTCCAAAATCCAAGCTCAACTACTACCACATCCAGCCTCTCACTACTTCACCTGCTCAGCTGATCACTTATGAAGCTTAAAATGTGCCTCCAAGTTGTATCCACTACAAAACCATCTATTACTAAGTATACGGGTGTATATTCCAAATTTTGGTCTCCAAATTTCTCTCTAGAGCTATGAACATGAAGACAGTATGTTTCATGCCTGGAAACAGAGAAGTGACTCACTTTAAAACTACTCTTTTTAGTTTAAATGTGTGCCAACATACAAATTTTAAAGCAAGCAAGCCGGGTCTCTTAAGAAGACTCTGGCAGAAGCTGGGGCTTCAAACTAGAGAAGCCCGATGGAGCGGTTAATTAACTTTCACACGAGTATTAGCTCCGATGAAGGGAAGCTAAAGTGTTCAGAGGGGGAGAATCGTCTCTAATTGGAAAAAGACTGTCCTGGGAATGTAACCTGCTGCAAACATACACCATGTAATCTCTCTCCCAGGTAAAACAAAGCCACCTGATGTAGAAACAACTCAATTTTGTGCAAAATGGATAGGGAGGCCCAAGGGTGTTCCTGGGAGCGGAGAACACCGTCAAGGGGTATTTTACCACTTGGGCAATTTGAGCAAGTTTAACATCAGCAGGAAAAACCTACCATGGCAGTAAAAGGAAGGGAAAGAAACCATGTACAAGCCAAACCCCAGCTCTTCTCAACGGAACAAAGGAAATAGGGCTGACTGGGAAAATGGATAAATAAGGTGTGGTGCATGCATACCACAGAATATTATGCATCAAGTGAAAGAAACGAATTAGATTTGCACACTGCAATGGGAATAGATCCTAAAAGCATTCTAAGTAAAAAAAGGCCAAAAAAAAAAAAAGGAATGGTATCTATAGCGCAACTTTTAATCTATGTAAATTTAAAATATGTGCACACAAAACGCCAATGCATGCTTTCCAGAACACTGAGAGAACACATAAGCACACTGGAATGATTAGGGTACAGGAAAAAAGAATGACAGTGGTGAATGTAGATAAAAAGGAAATAAACATGTAAGTAGCACAAAAGAGGGGTGTTTCACTGACCAATGGTGCTAGTGTGCCATGAGTGGAAATATAACTCAGTCCCCTGTACTGGAGTCCCCACCCCAAAAGAATAGAATAGGATTAAAGAGTGATAATAATGGAATTTATTAAGAAATGTTTGTGTTAATTATAGCTTTGTGTACCCATGTTTGCGTTACTCAAGTATAGCTTTATAGTAAATAATAGCCTATGAAATTAAATATCAGTTCTCTTAAGATAATTGAGTACTACTTGAAAGCTTAGTTTTCTTAAACATATTTGACATTTAGTCATCCTACCCTCCCGACTACCCCTAGCAAATTTTGTTGGTTCCCCTAGTTTGCTCTGCAAATCTGTTCCCGAAACATAATGGAAGATAAAGCCAAATTATCATATATCATAAATCTGCAGGGTATAAATTGTTTTAATATATTTAAGGGGAAAATACTGGTTTTTTGCAAATACTGTCCTAAGTGTTAAACATAAATTTTAAGACTACTGTGTTCAAATACAGATGTACACCCCAAGAAAGTCATTGACAGAGCTAACAGTATCCAGGGGACAATGATCAAGATGACAAAGTTTAAATCATCTCACAAAAAATAGTTGGAGGGAGGCCTCTAGTGGAATGCTGCTAGGCTCCATCCTGGTTAACAAATTCCAACAAATCTCTGCGTACCTAATTCTGAAACAGGCCCTCCGTGACGTGTTAGAACTGTCCAATAGAAAGATAATACAAGCCACATATAATTTAAATTTTCTCATAGCCACATCAAAGAAGTACAAAAAGGTGAAATTAATTTTAGTGATATATGAAATCATTCCAACATGTGATCAATATAAAAATTATCAGTAAGATATTTTCCGTTCTTTTTTGGGTACTAAGTCTTCAAGATCTGGTGTGTATACTTACAGCACATCTCAATTCAGTCTACCCACATTTCCAGTGCTTACTATCCTCATGTGGCTTGTGGCTACTGTACTGGACAGCACAGAGTTAGAGATGCTAACTAAAGCAACACACACACAGGGCCCATATGTCAAAATACACACAATGGAATGAGAGCCATAACTTTATAGCAGGTTTTCAACCTTATTCCCACCAAGACCCAGAAGGGATGATTGACACTTCTGCCTGTCTTTTTCTTTCTTGAAAGTAAACTGAAATACAAAACAAGTGAGGTGACCTCAAAGCTGTTTTAATGTATAGAAAGAGTTCCAGCACCTTCACTATTAGTGTTAACAGATTACTTTGGAAACTGACAGAGCACCAAGGTTCTCCACGACCCTCCAGAGTTGATCTGGAAACAGGCACAGGGAACACTTGGCTGTCCTTTAATAATCACCAGCAAAAAGAGAAGTCTTATGTGTCGTATATGTACAAACATCCAATTTAAAATACATCTCTTTTTCGAGCGAGTCTCTAGCAATTGTCACTATGGGAAGGACACTGAGAATCCATATGTCTTCCCTTCTTGCTGGAAATTTATAAATTGCGTTTATGCATAAATGAAGCACATCATTTCCTCCAAAAAGAAAGAGAAAAACATTTGTGGAACGAACTTTCTAGATGCTACCCTAGAATTTCAAAATGAGGAAACAAGACTGTCTCCTTAGAATAACCCTATGAAATCAATCCACAATAACCCAGATCAAAGATTTGCAAAGTTAACTGGAAGCAGTCAACCCCAGCATCTTCCCGGGCAACATCTCCCAGGGAGCAGAGGCAATGTGAAAAGCAGGTCTGCTGACTCACCTCCGTCCCTCCCCAGCACCACTCCCTTCACCACCTCACAGACAATGAATGACTCCAAGGCCAGCGAGATGGAGAGAAACTGGCTGAAGCTATAAACATCTCCAAAGACAGGACACTGTCAATCAGCAACGTGCCCCATGTGCCACAGACGTAGGAATGGGGAGGGATAAGAGAGGTGGCAGTGTGCATGGAAACACCGTCTGCTGGGAAGTACTCTGGCTTGGGAACTCAAGAATCAAAATTCAGACACGGGTTCCTACACTAGAAAATGATGTGTGAGGTTCATGACATTAACCACTATGGTTTCCCAACTGGCTCCCTGGACTTAACCTTAGTCAGATGATCAGTAAGCAAACTTCTGATCATAATTTAGGTTCCCAGAATGACGTGCCCACAGGGGGGAAAAAAGTGCTAATCAAAAACGTGTATTCAGTTCACGTGGTTATCTTTTTCAGTCTACACAGGTAACATTCTTGGTTTTAGACCCTTTCTTGAGACTTTTTTTTTTTTTTGGTGAGAAAGATTGGCCCTGAACTCACATCTGTTGCCAATCTTCCTCTTTTTCGCTTGAGGAAGATTGTCTCTGACCTAACATCGTGCCAATCTTCCTCTATTTTGTATGTGGGATGCCATCACAGCATGGCTTGATGAGCAGTGTGTAGGTCTGCATCCAAGATCCAAACCCATGAACCCTGGGCAGCTGAAGCAGACCGTGTGAACTTAACCACTATGCCACCAACTTTTTTTTTTTTTGAGGAAGATTAGCCCTGAGCTAACTGCTGCCAATCCTCCTGTTTTTGCTGAGGAAAACTGTCCCTGAGGTAACATCCACGCCGATCTCCCTCTACTTTATATGTGGCCTACCACATATAAAAAGCCTACCACAGTGTGGCTTTTGCCAAGTGGTGCCATGTCCACACCCAGGATCCGAACCAGTGAACCCCAGGCCACCGAGAAGTAAAACATGTGAACTTAACCGCTGTGCAACCGGGCCGGCCCTGCCCTGCCCCCTGCCAACACTTTTAATTAACCAGTCCCTCAGAGCTCAATCTATTCTGAGGACACTAACTAGTGAACTTCTCATCCTGCAAGCTAAGAATCAGATTTTCCTAGGCAAGTGCTTCCTGGGTCCTTGGAGCACCTTAGCAGCAGCCCTCTGGCCTCCCCAGGAATCTTCCTCTGCTTTAAGGTGTGTCTTCTGCAAACTGCAATGAGTCTTTACATAAACTGGCCATTCCTATCTTAAAAGAGACAGGAATTATTGGCAACTTATCTACATGCATTTCCACCCTCCTCTTGCTGGGAGGCATTTCAATAGTCCCTTAATTCCCCCCTTTTAAAGCTATGACACTATCATTATATCCTCGATTACATGACAGTCTTTTCCTTTCTTAAAAAGTATGTATGACCTATTTTCCTTTTTTCAATGGAAGTATATTAAAACTAAAGTGAATTTTTTCCCCAAATTTCTCAAGCTCGCAAGAGTGCCACAAACCAAAACTGTGGATCACAATATTATAATGGGTAGAAATGCTGGTTTTTAATCTGGGTGAATGCTGAACAGGTGTTTGCCATATTAGTCTCTATACTTAATTCTTAAGTTTGAAATAGTTCCCTATTTTAATGTGGCCTTTTGAGTGGCTTAATGCAGTGTCTTGCACATACGGGTCCTCAAAAATATTTTTTTTTTAAATTAGATTGAGTGAATGAATACAAATCCTTAAGCCACTCTCTTTAATATATTTGAGATAGGCTGAGATAAGCAACTGTTAACTGATAACAACTGAATTAATGTAGCCCCTTATTTTTCCTTATTCTTAAGTGATAAGAGAGTTAAGAGAGCCCCTTTTAATAGACACAAGGATATAACCAAGTGCTTTTGTTTTTATGTGCCGTATGATTTGAATGTCCTATATAATCCAGAGATTTTGAATTGGGAAAGTCAAGTTTGATATCAAAGTTTATTTTTTATCAATTCCCTCAAATTGAGGATTTTAAAATTAGGATGTCAAACTGGTACCCAAGGAGAACATGCAAGCCGGCCTCAGGGACCGATACCTTGGGCTGCCGCCTCCGGGTGGTACTCCGGCTCTTCCTCCGGGGGGCTCTGCAGGAAGTAGAGCTGCTCGGGCAGCATGGTGGCGATCTTCTCCTTGCCCAGGACGTGGGTACTCAGAAGGGGACTGACGCTCCGCTTCACTTTCTCTCTCCTTTCATGGGCCATAATTTTTTTGGTCCGAGCCTTGATGTTCTCCCAGCACTTCTTCAGCTGCTTGAAGTCCCGCAGAGACACGCTGGGCTGAGAGTTGTACTCGTGGGCGAGCGCCTGCCAGGTACGCTGCTTGAGGGCGATAGTCCTGGCATCACTTTTCTTACATTCCAGCACATACTTGTACTTTTCTACTAAAGCCAGCAGGATGCTCTTTTCCAATTCTGAGAAGTATTTGGCAGGTTTTATAATTTCGTTGTTTTGCATTTTCCACTATATTTCTCCTGGCCGTTAGCTATCCTGGAAAAGGAAGTTTGGAACAATAATTACTAACTCCAGCGATAAAAGTGTCAGCAAATCACTTAAGCTTAATCCCTGACTTGAATCCCTTTATCTGAAATACAGTACTTTCTTTTCCATTCATGCTGAATTATGATATTCTCAGGAAAACATTCAGAAGTTACTAAGAATGGATTTGCGTTTTTTTTTAAAAGATTTTATTTTTCCTTTTTCTCCCCAAAGCCCCCCGGTACATAGTTGTATATTTTTAGTTGTGGGTCCTTCCAGTTGTGGCATGTGGGATGCCGCCTCAGCATGGCTTGATGAGCAGTGCCATGTCCGCGCCCAGGATTCGAACCAGCGAAACACTGGGCTGCTGAAACGGAGTGCACACACTTAACCACTCCGCCACGGGGCCAGCCACAAAGAATGGGGTTTTACTTCAAAGCAGACTTTCAAGTAGGTCCTTTGTTGTAGGTCTTGGCCAGTCTATGAATATCTGGTATGTAACAGCAAAAACGGAAAAGTTGAACATCTACATGGAACTCTGTTAATTTATTTTTGCTTAATGTTAAAGAATTGATTGTTCCCCAAATTCATAACTTTAGGCAGTTCTTATACTAAACAGCTTCTCAAAGTTTTGTTATGGCTGAAAACAGAGAAGCCACTGTGTAACCAAATATAACAGATAATGTAAACACTATCAAGATTTCAAAATCATCAAGAAATCACCCCAAAAGATCTGACATTTCCCTCACTGTGTCTGTGACCATGGATAGGTCCATGATCCTAGAGCAACCTGTTTCTCCATCTTTAAAATGAAGGCTTGGAGTCTGTGATCACCAAGGCATAAGGGCCACTTTTAAAAGTGTACAGTCCTACATAAATAATTTATATAATTTCAGGTGAAAAGGCCTGGGTGCTTGAAGATTGAATCCAATGCACCTTTTTACAATTGAGGGAACTAAGGGCCAGTAAGGTGAGGTGAATTACCCAAGATCACAAAGATGGTGACTTGGGAAGTCAAGAACCTGGACTGTCCTAACAGTTGGGTATTCTTTTTTTTTAAACACCAAATAATAGCCATTTTTATTATGCATATTCCTTTAAAGTCTTTGTTCACATATTATAAGTTATCAATTTTACATTATTTAAAATTTGCTGAAATAACATTTTCTCTATTTGTATAGTTACCATAGTCTATATAATACCTTTTAATGTTTTAAATAAAAATTTTACATATTTAATATACATAAATTTGACTTTATATACATATACATAGTGAAATCATTACTACAGTCAAGCTAATTAACATATCATCTCCTCACATAGTTACTTTTTTTATGATGAGAGCACCTGAAATCTACCGTCAGCACATTTCCAGTATTCAATGCAGTATCATTAACTGTAGTCATCACGCCTGTCCATTAGCTCTCCAGACTTATTCATCCTATATAACTGCAACTTTGTACCTTGGACCAACATCTCCTCCCTTCCTCCACCCCCAGCCCCAGTCCCTGGTAACCACTGTTCCACTCTGCTTCTATGAGTTGGAATAGTCTGGTATTCTTACCATCATTTCACAGCCATCTCTTGGGCTGTCACCTTGGGTGACTCCAGACTACTCAACCATGACCCCCTTAGGTCATCTTGCCATCCTCCCACGGCTGAGCCAGCATCTTTCACTCAACGGGTGCTTAGTAAATGTCTTATTCCATTGTGCGTTTTGTGACCCCATACTTTTCCCACATTTTTTAATCACAGGAAGCTTTCTACAAAATTAACCTCTTAAATGTGTTGTGGCAAGGACGTCACTAAGCAACACTGAATTCAGGAATAAAGTGAGCGCTGCATGTTCGCCTTTGCGGAAAGGGCCAATATGCCCCAGTCCTCCTTATGTTCTCCAAGCCTCGGATTTTTCAGAATAGGTAAGCATCAAGATACTGATGATGTAGTCCATTTAAGCTGGCCAACCCATATCAAAAGAACTGGAAACTAACTTGAAAGGAGTCCCATTGGCCAAAAATGGGGCATTTGAACATTGACAAGGGTGAGAGGTACACAGATTCATTAAATTATTCTCTCGGTCTTTGTGCATGTTTGAAACGTTCCATAATAAAAAGTTAGGGAGAAAAAGGCTATGGCTTTTAAAATTACGTAGACTGATTTAAAATCACACTATTGCAAGCCAGCTATTCACATACTATGCCTGGGGAGGGGTTACAGTAGTTGGGAATAGCTAAAATCTGTTAGACTTGAGGCTGGAGGGGACGTGTCAGATCAGAGAGCCTTAAAATTGAGGCCAAGGAGCGTGGGCTTTACACGAGGCAACAGAACCTGATCAGAGTCTCCCACTATGTACCACCTCCTCTGGAAGGTTAAGGTTAGAATGAAGTATCACTGTGATCAGTGTCTCCACACACCAGGCCCCCTGTCTCACGCTCATCGTGGGCACATCAGTATCAGAGATCGAGAGATTCAGAAAGAAGTCAACAGTGGTTCGACCCTCAGGTCTTGAGCAAAGCTAAACGAGGGTAAATTTATCTTTGAGGATGTGTCCTGGCACCCTGAATTCCCAGGCCTGTGCTTCAATCATGTTGCTCTAATGTCCCTACAAAGACACCCAATCCAGGCCCTTTCTTCCCCAAAGATCCAAAATTAATTTTTCCCCTTCACCAACACTCCTACTCTCCATAAAATCAATGTTCCCAAAACTGAAACTTACTAACACACACACCCTAACATATATCTCTTCTGTATCTCTGCCAACCCGTCTATGTCCAACTTTACTTTCGATAGTTTTTACTAAGAAATCAACAGGTACATGGAACATTCTTAAACTACACTGCTCCCAGAGCAGATCCTGATCCAATATTCCACCTCAAGCCCCCTGCCCCAGGAGATGTCAACATGCCTGCCTTCCCCCAGGCCCCCATTCTGTTTAAGAATCATTGCTACAAGGATTGAGAAGTCTGATTCACAAATGAAAAAGGGGTTGTTTCCCATTTTGTTCTATTACAGGTAATGCTATTTTATTTAAATATATACAAAGAAATTAATATATATTATGTATATTTTTCTTTCTAAATAAATCTTTTTTCTATCCTTATTTCTTTAAGGTAACAGCTGCCACAAAAGATAAAGACACAAGACTTTTGTTACATGGCCATCTGTCCTCCAGAAATGGTGTACAATTTATACTCCTACTAACAGCACATGAGCCTGTCTGTTTCCCCATGTCCTCTTGCTGTTAACATTTTTTTAAATCTACGCCAACTGTGGAGATGAAAATGTCACTTCATTATTTAATGGTATATGAATTCCAGCTCTCAGGCAAATACGCCACACTCTGACTGAGAAAAGTCCCTGTGATACTTGATGGAATTGAAATTACATGGAATTAATGCCAAGCAATTTCCTAAGTCTTCGTCACAAGGTGTGCAGTACCATTAGCTGCCACCAGGCGGTGGTGGGTTCGTGAGGAGTCCACATTCACAAAGGACCTTGCCCCAAATGTGGCCAGTTGAGTCTCTAATAATAGCAGTAATAACAATAGCAGATAACTTTTACTGAGCTTTTACTGTGGGTTAGACACTATACTAAATACTTAATATGCACTATATTATTTAATCCTCCCAAAAACAGTCTCTGAGAGCATCATTTGTTACACTACAATATTTTCTCTTAAAAAAAAACGTTATTAAGGGGGCTGGCCCCATGGCCGAGTGGTTAAGTTCACGCGCTCCACTGCAGGCGGCCCAGTGTTTCGTTGGTTCGAATCCTCGGTGCGGACATGGCACTGCCCATCAAACCATGCTGAGGCAGCGTCCCACATGCCACAACTAGAAGGATCCACAACAAAGAATGTACAACTATGTACCGGGGGGCTTTGGGGAGAAAAAGGAAAAAATAAAATCTTTAAAAAAAAAAAAACTTTATTAAAGTACCAGAAAAAAAACTATACAGCTGCTCTCAAAAGCAAATACTCAGAATTACCAACACCTGGGGACCATTAATAGCCTATTAACCGAACTGTTATTTAATCACTCCCTAAGTAAATCCAGAGTTCCCAATTTACTTTGCTTAATTCTGTAGAACAGCAGGCCTCCCTGGGCCATGTGGCTGCACTCTACAGAGCTCTCCAGGGAGTCTGGTATGAGACAGAACACCCCAGAGGTCCCCTATGGATCCCAACAGCCTCACGAAGTAGGCTGTTTATCCCCACTTACCAATTATTATTCCTATTTCCCAGACAGGAAAAGTGAGGCTCAGTAACTTGCCTGTGGTCACACAAATGGTAAGTGGCAGAACCAGGATTCAAACCCAGGTCTGACACCAATGCCCATGCTGCTCTCTGCTCTGCTTAGCTCTCTGCTTTCAGACCTAGTTGCAGCCTTTAGCTCCCTGCTCAAATTACATGTCAATTAGCAATCTAACTGTCAGCAGGGAAAGCTCCTAGGGTACAGCAACTTCCGGGGGAGCTGTGCCTGCTTCTGTCCTCTCCATTTAGTGGCTCTTCCCTTCCTGCCCCCAGGGTCTCAAACCTAGGGCCCAGGGCCTCCAATTCCTTCCACTCCACTGCCTGCCCCAGGTGTACCTCTCTCAGTCTAACCAGCACTCCTAAATAATTTCCGCTGTTGATCTGATAAGAATGTATGTTTGAAAAGCAACTGTAGAGATAATATGGAGCTTTAAAATGGTCCATGCTTAGGGGAACGCTGACATTCTGCTCCAGCACCTGACAGTCCTAAGCAAACAAACACTTCCTGAGGTAAGAGATCTCTAGGTGAAGCTTATTAATAAAAACTTCAAGGCTAGAAAGCACATTCTAGCTTAAAAGTACTCAGCAATATCCATACTTGGTGAGAGACGACAACATAAGCCTTCTGGGCTGCATCAGCTTTTATAAGAGATAGGCTGGCCTTCCCTGCCCCTAACTCTGCTCATCTTTTTTGTCTGCTGTTCAGCTAGACACAGTGCCACCTGTTCTTATGCGTGGTTGTGGTCCAACAAGCAGCCCGGTGACCCTCACACAGTGGGCCCTCAGCAAACGTTTATGAATGAATACGTTGTGCTATAGCCATAAAACCGCCTACCATGTACAGAATGAGTATCATGCATGATAAAACAGTACACTAAAAGCTGCATTAACGTAAAAATGGTCAAATAAAATAGCAAAACCCAAATGCAATGGAAATTCTCCTTGGGCTAGACAGATTGCAATTCTAATACCACGAAAGAACCAAAGAAGCAGCAATCGGCACAATTCCCAAAACACTAACCTTGACTAAACCAACAGAAGACTGTAACGAGTATATTTACTATCCACCTTAAAAGAAAAATCCATTTGTTACTGACTGAATGCTTGCATCCTCTTGTTTGCAACCAACCTTGCTGGTGCCTGCATCTAGCACTTCGCAGCCTCGAGGACTGTCAAAAATAAGTCGTTTAAGCCCCCAGTCTGTGGTGCTTTGTTATGACAGCCCAAGCGGACTAATACACCATCTAATGATCTGTTAAGTTCACCAAGGGTCAAACTAAGTCCTAAAATTTGAGCAAAGAGTAGAGAATCTTGGCCAGATTTCACTTCTACTGCCTTTTGTGGCAAAGGGAGTTCTTCAAAGTCAAAATTCAGGACAGGAACCATGACTGAAAACCTGTGGTGCTGAGGGCTCAGACAGATGTCAGGATATTAAAGACTACTGCTCCTTAAAGTGAAGTGAAATGAACCACGACAACGGATGCAGAAAACCTGGGCTCAAATCCTGACTTCAGCACTCACACAGCGTGTGACTCCGGGCAAGTCAATTAATCTCCAATGCTTCATCTGGAAAATGGGGTTTATACCCGCTACTCTGCCTTATTCCCCTGCACAATGGGAGTAAAGAAGCATAGACTAGAGCTTCAATATTTGAGTTCTTTCCACCCCTCCCACCCATATTAAACTGCCTGCAAAAGTAGAACAGTGGTCTGTATACAATATATATTCAAATATTTACTGGCTCCTTGATTTTATAGACACACAATTCAACAAATATGGAATAAACTCCTGCCAGAGGCTGAGTACTGTCCCAGAACATGTGGGAGATGCACAGACAGGTTGAACCCCAGAGCCTGGAAGGAGCACTGGCGTGCAGACACTGATAACTAAAACGAGAAAGACACCAACACAGACACCACAAGAGGGGACAAAGCACCTTGGCGTTCAGAGGAGGGAAGAGGTTAATTTGCATTCTTCACGAACACGAGGGCATCTGAGCTAGATCTTTAAGAATGTATAGGATATGAACAGAGAGAGCTGAAGGAGATCATTCAGATAAATAATTGATAAGAAAGGGCCTGGACTCTGAGCAGTGATGATGTTAACAGAGAGGAGGAGGTGCACACGGGAGGCTGTTTCAAAGCAAGCAAGGACCAGCACGTGTGTGTGTCCACACCAGGGCGGGGGATTTGAAGAGAAAGCAGAGGCAAGAAGGACACACGAGGATTAACGGAGCACCCACTCTGTGCTGGCACCAGAGGGGGGACTCCTTAAGACCGGGGCGATCATAGTCCAGTGAAGACATAACACAACACAGCGTATCATGGGAGGGGCTGGTGATAAGGCAGGGTGATAAGCACAGTGGCAGAGATGTGCCTAGGGACACTACTCCAAGATTGGAAGGATCTAGAATAAGAACCTAATTCCTAGTAGCATCGATTGGAATTAGAATTAGCATTAGGACAGTGAGGGCGACAACTTGGGAAAAACTGAAGGAACGTGTACAGAAAGGGTGAGTGAGCCAAACGAACGAAATGTGGCACCCATCCCCGAAGGAGACCTGGCCACAAGTCCTGGGTGATGGGTGCCCTAAAGAGACGAAAGGCTATTTCCTATCCTGGCCTGTTGACTCTCTCTCCTCACTCAGCACCCCCAAGCCACCTTTTTTGGGGAAGCAACAAATAGCTTAACATGTTAAAACTAAAAAGGGACCTCAGACTAATCCTCTCACTTTACAGATGAGGAAACCGAGGCCCAAAGCCAAACAGGGGGCTTCCTGGGGCCCTAGTAACAGAGGAGGGCCTGAAGGGAAGTATCATCCTCCATTTTCAACCCCTGCCCCACATCTCCTCCTGGGACCCTCTCACCATCAAGATGCCCTTTTGCTCAGTCCCTCAAGCCTTCCTCCAATATCCTGACACTCATTTTGTGACATAAGGCAAGTCCCCTTTCCTCCCTGTCAACTTCTCATCTCTAAATTATAAACTAAAGTGGGTTTTCTCAAAAGTCCCAAGCAGCGCTGGCAGTCCACGAGAGCATTGCCACTACAAGGTTTTTCTGCAACCTAATTTCCACAGTTCTCTGCCAAATACCCAAAGGTGGTATTTTCTGCCTATTTATGAGGTTAGTGGAGCTACCAGCCAATGAAAGAGAACACTGCAGCAGAATAAAGAGATCTCAGCACTTGAGAGGATTTAAGGCCCATACCCAGGTTTAACTCCGTAGGTTAAGTAGTTCCAGCTGAAATGTCTAAAGCAGGTGATCGATCCGTTCGCTACTGTAGCCCCAGCTCCTTGAAGAATGCCTGGTACATGGCAGCACTTGACAAATATTAGTGGAATATATGTTGAAACTAACCTGCTCGCCATTTGTGTTTCTGACTAATCATACCTAGCTGTTCTACTACGTAAAATTTCTCCTCTTTTAAAGGATTTATCATAACAAAAGTCATTTCCTGGCGGCTTCTTGTAAATACTATTGCATCGTGTGCTAAATTTTTGAAAGCCTATGACTATGATGCCCTCATGATTTCATCTTATCCAGAGGCAAGAGTAATCAGATATTGTTCTCCCCATGCCCACCTTCCCGCTTGTTCAAACCTGTCTACCCAGGAAGGCCGCTCACCTGTGGCCTCTCCATCTTCCTTCCTTCCTTCAGAGGGCTTTCCAGTCTTAAACCCAGCACTGAACTTGCTTCCTCTAACGCTCTCCATCCTCCTCCCCTTCACTACCCACTCTCGGCAGCCATGAAACTTGGAAGCGTTTATTTTTACCATCTGTGTCTGACTGTGACTGTGAGTAGACGCAGCCTTGCGTTTAAGGCAGGAGCTCCCACCTCCCGTCCCTCCACTCCCACAGTTCCCTCTATAGATCACATGAAGGCTCTCAAGAGTCCTGCCTTTCCTTCCCCTCCCCCACGGCTCCACCCTAAACCATCTCGCCACCCCAGGCTCCCCGAAACTTCCTCCGAAATATTATTAAAGTATGCTCCAAGAAAGCGCTTTCACAATACAGAAAGTCCCCTTCGGTAGGTGTTCCCACTGCAGCCTGCTTCCGGCCTGTGAGCACTCTCTTCTCCTCCCGCACTTCAGCAACAACCATCGGCTCTCAAGTCTCAGGGTCCCAGTATCTACCTCTCACTACGGCACTCAGAATTACTCTGCACTGCAGTCTATGCACATCCTCGAGGGTCTCCCCTATCTGAGGGTGAGCTCCTGGGGCTTGGAACCACGTTTTATTCCTATCTTCAGCACGCAGTGGATTGTGTGTTTGTTCTAGAGAAAGCAGAGGGAAGGAGAACCCCAGCCCCCTCGTCTCTCCCCAACATCATACAGATTTCCAGCTGTCTACCAGCCCCCTCCACGGAGCTGTCCATTATGGGCGCCTCAGTAATCTCCAACTCTCCATAGTCAAAAGCAAACGAATTATTGCCCCACCCCCAAGCCTCCTGATTTCTGATGATTTCCGCCACATTAACTTGGCTCAAAGCAGAAACCACAGCCTGCTCTTCAATCACGTGTAATCAAGACCTACTGTACATCTACCTCACTATCTCCTCTCTCCTCTCCCATCCCCACTGCCTGCGTCTGAGGTCAGGCCCTGGTCTCCCCAAATGATCTCCTGGACTTCCAGCCCCTCTCCCACACAGCAACCAGAGGGATCTTCCTAAAACACCATGATCATATCACAGTCCTGCGTGTGAACCTGACATCTCCCCCAACGCCTCAGTGACAGATAAAGTGCAAGCTCCTTGCATGGCCTTCAAGGCCTGTCCAGATCTGGCCCCGATTATCATGACCCTCCACCCCACTCCACCCCACTCTCTCCATGTATTTTTCAACCCAGCCAGACCCACTCACCTTCATGCTCTTGAACCTGCTGTCTTCTCCTGCCTCTGTTCAGGGGGCTTCCTCTGGCTGGAATCCTTTACCCCAAGGTCCACCAAGGGCTCATTTCGAGCCCTAAGGCCCAACTCCCGTGAAATTTTTGTGAAGCTTTCCTCAACTAACGCCCAGGCTGTTACGTCTACTTTATTTACAGCAGCTTCCTTCTAAAATGACTTTGAGGCAGCTTACAAACTACGCACGCACAGCAACTAGTTTGTCTTTTTTTTTAAGAGAATGACTATCAGGGCAAAGACAAGAGAGGGGTAAAGAGAGAGAAGCTAGGAGGTGGGGTAGCAATCACAACCTCTCTCATACGGTCTCATCTTCATCGTGCTCGAGCTGGACTGGCCCTGAGTTCTATCCAGAACGAGTTAGTTCCTCCTCTGTGAGCTCAGTGCCAGTTGGACATGACTGTACTGTAGCACTTCCCATATTTTTTGTAATTTGCTCTTTGTGTCTGTCTCCCTCACTGGACTGGGAAATTCCTAAGGGAAGACATAATTTCTGACTCATCTCTGAATCCCCGCATGAAGCACATGACTCAGCATGCGATTGGTACTCAGCAGACATTTGTGGAGTGAATATCACCATGGACAGGGAAAAGGGCACTGGTGCTGGTTGAAGTCTCCACCAGGCATTTGAAAAAACACTGTTTATCCCCACAAAAAATTACATGGCTGAGAAATGGGAGAACTAGGATTCAAACCCCAAACTCTCTCTCTCTCCAAAGCAACGGGTCTTTCCACTATGCACACGGCGCCCGCCCTTCACCATCATTGTGCGCCCAAATACCCTCTCCTTCGAGGCCTGGTTTTAAAATCACCCTTCTCCAAGAAGCCTTTCCTGCTCACTCAGGAAAGAAGTCAGCCTGAGTCCAGTGCTGACCGTCCACAACACTCAAGTAAGAAATGGTCACCTTGGTGGCTGAGAACTGAGCAGTCTGTGTAGGTGTTCCGCAGATGGTGGCGGGCCGTCAGCTCCTGCTCCTACTGCCTTGCCCCTGGTGCAGTCCCTAAGCCTTCCTGCCTTTCTCTTCCTTCTTCAGGGTCCAAAGCCTTCCAGTTCTCCCCCAGTCCAAAATGAACCCCAAAATAATCTCCTCATGCCCGCTGCTTCTCTAACCAAGTGAACTGTGTTCACAACACACTCCTTCATTACATCAGTCAGGCCTTCGTACTTTAAGCGTTCCATCAACCTTTAGGGCTGGTGAGCATCCCAGTCTCCTTGATACATTAAAAGAATTTCAGGAACCACAAGAAGGGACAAGGACATTTTAGGAGGCCCAATCACCTGGCTCTCAACCCATCTGAATACTTTTGGGGTGGCCTGGGAGGAAGAAGAGACAATCTGGGACCTCGCCCTAGCATCCCTCCCGCAGGCAGAATGCCTGGTCTCTAAGGGCAGGACGAATCTCGGTCCAGAACGCTGCCGGAGTGGTGGACCCTGGTCCCTTCCTCAACATCTTCTTCCAAAATCGTTCCCTCTCTCCGGAGTCCACCCTTGTCTCTCTCTGGCCCCAAACTCCCAGAGCAATCCTCAGTCTTAACTCAGGAACTATGTTTTAGAATTACTATTCAACAATTTCCTTGGTAACACCAGTGTCTTATTTGGCAGGGCTGCAAGGCACACCCCTGGCCCTGAAATTATCCTGTCTCGTTTTAAATGTGTGACAAATATATCCCAGCATCCTATACCCACTCTCCTGACACTGCAGGAACATTTGTAACCTTAAATGTTACCACATCTAAGAAACGCCCAAACTCCTGAATCGGAATACGGAGACTAAATTCTTCCCTGCTTCCTACTCCTAAATAAAGATTATTCATGCAATTTACAGTAGCTACTTCACAGCGCCGGTGTGCTGATTTAATTAGATAACTCACGCCAACTGTTTAGTACCTCGGGCCTGGTACATAGAAAGTGCTTAAAATTGAGCTATGATCATTTATGTACGTTGGTTCTCACAATTGTTCCTGGATCACACCACGCACTCCCGCACCCCCCCGCACCCCCCCCCTCCCCCCCGCCGCGGCACCCCCATTTACAGAAGCAGAAGCCGAGGCTCCGGAAAGGAGCCTTCCCAAGGTCAGGGGGGCACGGACGTGATGCTCGGCCCTGGGCCTCCCCGAGTGAGGGAGCCCTCCCATTACACCCTGGAACGGGGCACAAGGGGTCTTAAAGGAGACAAGTATGGGAAAGCGCCGTGCACCGTGCCCGGCAGCCAGTGGGGACCCTAGGATGGGAAAACCGCGCCACTGCGGGTCACCTGGATTCCTCCCAAGCAGCCCCCGCGGCCTGGGGGTCCGGAGTCCCCGACCTCGGGTGCGCCGTGGAACGTCGCCGCGGTGCGCGCCCGGGGCTTTGTACGCGGCAGGCCGGCCCCGCTCCCGGAGTCGCTGTGCGGCGCGCGCCGGCGGCCGCCGGGCCTGCAAGGCAGGGGGCGCAGAGGCTCGGCCGGCAAGCCCGCCAGGCCGGCCCGCCGCCCGCGTCCCCCGCCGCCCGCCGCCCGCCCCGGAGCCTCCTACCTGCAGCGACGGCGCGGCGGCCGCGGCGACCGGGGAGAGGCCGGCGGGACGCGGGAGGCGGGCGGCCTCGGCTCCTCTCGCAGGCTGGGCGGCCGGCAGGGCCGCGGGCTCCGGAGCGCCGGGCGGCGGCGGCGCGCGCGCCGCGGCCACAAAGCCCGGGAGCCGCCGCCCCCTCGCGGGCCGCCCGCCGCCTGCGGGTCCGTCGGCGCCGAGGAGGGCGGGAGCGCGGCCCCGCGCAGTCCCCACCTCCCGAGCCGCGGCCGCCGGCCTCCCCGAGGGCTCGGGGCGGGGCGCGGGTGTCCCTCGCCCACCCAACCCTCTTCCTCCGAGCCGACATCCTGGTGCTGATTGAGGTCTTTTCCCACCTTCGAGGAGTCGCTGCTGAAGGGCCTGGAAAGCTGTGTTTCGTGTCCAGGAACAACAACAAAAGGATGCATTTGTCACAAGGGATTTGGCGGCCATGGACACGAGTTAGCTCAGTCCAAGCCCCCAGTCTAAGAAAGGGGACTCCAGGCTAACTGGAACAGCCAACTCTCTTGTGCTAGGTTCATCACGGAGCTCTGTTTGGTTTTGCTTTTTTAATTCGCGGGATGTGTCTCTCCCTAGGCTGCGCGCTCCCAGGGCAGTGGCTGTGCCCTCTGGAGCCCACGACCTGGCTCGGACCGTGTGCCGAGTAAATGGGAATTAATGCGCGGAGGAATGAATGCACAACAGATCAAACTGTAGTAGGACAAGGCACCTTTTATTGCCCCTCCCACAAGGATGGGTGGCCAGGAGTTTCTTTTGCCCTATATCCAGTGCAGAGATTCCGAGCTTAGAAGGGCAGAGGGCTGTTGAGCTTTTTGTCTTAATTAAGGTCAAATTCACAGAACATAAAATTAACCACTTTAAAGTGAACGATCCAGTGGCATTTATTACATTTACAATGTTGAGTAACCACCATTTCTATCTAGTTCTGAAACATTTTTATCACCCCAAAAGGAAACCCCCCGCTTGTTGAGCAGTCACTCCCCATCCCCTCCTCCTCCCAACCCTTGGCAACCACTGATCTATTTTCTGTCTCTCTGGATTTGACTATTCTGGACATTTCATATAAATGGAATCATACAATACGTGGCCTTTTTGTCTGGCTTCTTTCGGTTAGCATGATGTTTTCAAGGTTCGTCCACGTCGTAGCCTGTATCAGTTCTTCATTCCTTTTTATGGCTGAATAATATTCCATTGGATGTATACCACAACTTGTTTATACATTCATCCATTGATGGGTAGTTCCATCATCCACTGATGCATTATTTCCACTCTTTGGCTACTGTGAATAGTGCTGCTCTGAACATGCGTGTAAATGTATTTGTCTGAGTATTTGTCTTCAATTCTTTGGGGTATATACCTAGGGATGGGATTGCTGGGTCCTATGGTAATTCTATGTTTAACTTTTTGAGAAACTACCAAAAAGTATTTCCATAGTGGCTAAACGAATGATTTTACATTCACACCAGCAATGCTTGAGGGTTCCAAATTCTCCACATCCTCACCCACACTCGCCACTTTTCATTTTTCTGATTCCTTGTATACACTTGAGGCTACTGCCGCCCTCCCAGCTCCCACCACCCACAGCCCTAGGACAGACTGAGCCAGATCTTCTGCCCAGAAAGAAACAACCAAACACTTCCAGGGATCAGAAGGACCAATAAAAATGAAGACCCTTGCTATAACTGTTACACTGCTCTTTGTTCGTTATTTTATTAAAGATTTTATTTTTTTCCTTTTTCTCCTCAAAGCCCCCCAGTACATAGTTGTATATTCTTCATTGTGGGTCCTTCTAGTTGTGGCATGTGGGATGCTGCTTCAGCATGGTTTGATGAGCAGTGCCATGTCTGAGCCCAGGATTCGAACCAGCGAAACACTGGGCCACCTGCAGCGGAGCGCGTGAACTTAACCACTCAGCCACAGGGCCAGCCCCTCTTTGTTCATTATTTTAACAACAATTACTCTAGTATCCAAGTGGTTTTGAAATTGTCCAGAGAACCTGTAAACCAAGACCATCCCAAAGGAGCTGCTATTGGCAAACAAACTTTATGACCCTCACCTCACTGGAACCCCAGGCAGTACATCATTTCCACGTGGAGTTTTCCACTCCAGGGCCACATTAGATATCCATGAAGATTTCCTTCTTAAATGAGGATACGCTCAACGGAAGTCTATTGGGGTGTGAAAATAGAAAGTCAATTCAGATTGGAAATTTGACAGGTGGTAGAGGGTGAGAAAAGCACTGGATTTAACAGACAGACCTGGGCCTGAATCTTGACTTTACTGCTTATCTCGTCACAAATGAAGCTAACCTCCTCGCGTCTCAGTTTTCTCATTTCTAAGGTGGGAATAGTGATACCTACCTGGCACAGTTGATAAAAGCTTCTAGTCTTGACTTCAATAAATGATCAGTATCATTATTATTGTTGTTGTGATTATTTAAAACAATGATGATTGACAGGAGGTGCATGCAGAAATGCTAAGGAAACATAGAAAACATTTAATCATGTGTCTTCTTCTCAAATCAAGAGCTATCTCCAAAACTAACATGACCAGGGTGTCTACCTAGACCTGTAACGTGGTTGCCGCCCTCCCAGCTCTCTCCTTCTGCCCTAACTTAGCTCTGTCCTTGTTCCTTGTCCTTAGACAACCTTCTTAACCGAGTCTTATCTCTAAAGTGCAGTAACAATACCTGCTTAATAGAGTTGTTTGAGGATTCAGTAAGATATTGTATTTGTAAAGGGCTTAGCACAGTACAAGTTACATAGAAAATAATAGATGTTAGCTATTATTTTATTATTAATAATAAATCTGTTATAACTTCTCCGTAGAAAGAGTTTACAGAAGGGTGGAGTCTAGAGTCTAGTAAAAGGAAGCCATAGGGAAAGAACCCATTCGTGTGACTTGTCCCTTCCCCAAGAGCCTGAGGGTCCCCCCTCAGGAGGTCCATCCTCACGATGGAG